CTGGTACTCACTCTTCCAGTCCTCTGGCTTCCACCAGCTGTTAGATATCAACCTGGCTATAAAAGGCAATTCTGATCGGAGAAAAAGGGAGGGGAAAGAGAAGCCATGGCTGGCCGCCCAGCCTCGGCTCAGCTTCTGGTTCACAGCCGGGCGTATGGGATTAATTTAGTTTCGGAGCACCATCAGAGGCAGCACATGCTGTCACGATTGCGTAGTGGCTCGTGCTTCCAGCTCCAGGTCCCCAACCCAAGATGTCCCCGCCCGCACTCATTTGCTCTGATTTAGGAGGGGCTGGTGTAGCCCAGAGCTCCCGAGCAAGCTGCCTCCCCCTGCTCGCAGCTTCTGCTGGCGGCTCTGAAGGAATGATGGCTGTTTTGCCTGGAAGCACGCAGGAGGTGAGCAGGGCCAAGCCTGACCCACAGGCAGAGATGAGGGCCTTGCAGCCTGGCCCAGAGCGCTGCTTCTTTCTCAGCATCCTTCTGTCCCCAGGATGCTTTTGGAAATTCAGCATACTCTGAAATTTTGCCACCTTTTCTTTTCCTTCATAAAATCTTGCATCTGGAAGGTAGCTCCAAGTCATCCTTTCCTCAGGCACTCTCCTTCCCTGCCATGGGGACACAGAGAGAGAAAACGCCCAGTCAGTCCTCCTGCCCAGAGAGCCCGCTGTAGGGCAGAGAAGATGCACGCTTCTAATGCAGGCACACGTGCGTTTGCAGTGCGCATGCACTGAACCCTGGCAGGCCTGCATCTGGTCACCATGGAAACGCGGAGCCTGGTGGTACCCAGAGCGCAGGCAGAGAGATATTGAGTAGTATTGTGGTGTGGGTCATATGGCGTTGATTTAAGGAGGCGCAAGGTCTTTAGGGGCAGTGCGAGGCCCGGGTGTGCCCGGGCCGCCTGGATTTAGTGGCTGGATGGACAGATCACATCTGGGGAACGGGAGCGGCCTTCCGCGGCTCTCTTCTTGAATCTACTTTGGCTTCTGGGACTTGGGCAGGTCACTCACCTCTGAGCTCACTTCTTCTTCTGTCATCTGGAGAGAATCCTATGCACAGAGACTACGACGTAGCCCAGGGACATCCCTGAGACCCTTTCAGGGGGCTAACGTCCTAATGCTAAGATGCTCTTCGCCCTTTTCACTCTCTCCCACGGGGACAGTGCAGTTTTCCGAGGTGACGTGACCATGTGAGATCACCACAGATCGAATGCAGAAGCCATAGCAGAATCCAGCTGTCCTACAGATTTGCAAAAATGTTCAACCATGTCATTCTTCTCCTTACCTTTATTTTTTAAGACAGGGTCTCGCTATGTAGCCTAGGTTGGCCTCAAACTCCAGATCCTCCTGCCTCAGCCTCCTGAGTGCTGGGATTACAGATGTGTGCCACTATGCCCTGCTCTCCCTAAATTGATTTTTTTAAATTGTTATTTTCCTTTAAAGTTGTACTCCTGGTAATTTTTAAAAGTTATTTTTAACTTTTAATGGGATTACAATAATATTCAATAAGCTTTTTATATAAACATAAGCTGTTTGGGTCCTCATTAGTTTTTTATTATATTTATGTATATGTACATATTTTTAAAATAACAGCTTTATTGAGATATTCACATACCATAAAATTCAGTTATTCAAAGTGAACAATTTGATGGCTTTTAGAATATTCAGGATTATGTAACCATACCTCTATTGAGTTCCAGAACATTCCATCACCCTAAAAGGAATCCCTGTCCCCATGAGCAGTCACCCATCCCCTCCCCAGACCCTGGTCCCCACAGTCCACTTCCTGTCTCTGGATCCTCCAGTTCTGGATGTTTCCTATCAATGGAGTCACACCCTGTGGGGCCTTGTGTGTCTGCTTCTGTCATTGAGCACCTTGACCTCAAGGTCCCTCCACATTGTAGCATGAGTCAGAGCCTCGTCCTGTTTATGGCTGTATGATACTCCGGTCTATGGATGGGCCCTGCTGTGTTCATCCATTTGCCAGTTGATTGACATTTGGGCCACCCCCACTTGTGGTTACTGTGACTAATGTGCTGTGAGCATCCACACGTAAGTTTTCATTTCTCTTTGGCAGAAACCTAGCTGTGGAATTGCCGGTCATGGGGCAACAGCCCAGTTAACCTTTTCAGGAACTACCAGACAGACCATTCTCCCATCGGCTGCCTCTTCTCCCGTTCCTGTGCTATGCAGGAGGGCATCAGAGCTGCTGCATCCTGGCAAGCACTTGCTTTCTTTTTCACGATTGCCATCCTAACGGGTGGGGGGGGGGCCTCGTTGTGGTTTTGATTTGCATTTCCTGATGACTAACGATACAGAGAATTTGTTCTTATGTGTATTGGCCCTTTGCATATCTTTGTTAGAGAAGTGTCTTTTTAAAAAATTTTTTGCCGTGCTGTAAATTAAATCCAGGGCCTCCCACTTGCCAGGCAAGCACTCACCACTGAGCTACATCCTTAGCTCACCCACTTTTAAATTGGGCTATTTGCTTCTTTATTGTTGAGTTATAAGATTTATATATTCTTGGCCAGGGGTGGTGGCATACACCTGTAATCTCAGCTACTTGGGAGGTGGAGGCAGGAGGATCTCGAGTTCAAGACCAGTCCAGGCAAAGTTAATAAGATCCTGTCTCAAAAATAAAATACAGCCATGCACCGGTGGCCATGCCTGTAATCCTAGCTACTCAGGAGGCAGAGATCAGGAGGATGATGGTTCGAAGCCAGCCCCAGCAAATAGTTCACAAGACCCTGTGTTGAAAAATCCCATCACAGAAAGGGTTGATGGAGTAGCTCAAGTGGCAGAACACCTACCTGCCATGCACCATGCCCTGCATTCAATCCCCAGTGCAAAATAAAATACAGTTTTCGCCCATTCTATGGGCTGTCATTTTCTTGGAGTCCTTTGAAGCAAAAATGATTTATTTTTGGTGGTATTGGGGTTTGAACTCAGGGCCTCATGCTTGCTAGACTGGTGCTCTACCACTTGAGCCACACCATTTTTGCTTGAGTTGTTTTTAGAACAGGGTCTCATGTTCATGCCTAGACCAAAATCCTCCTACCTCTCTCTGCCTCCCAAGTAGCTGGGATTACAGTCATACCCTACCATGCCTGGCCCTTACTGTCCCTCTTGCACATGAATAAGCAAACCCGGTGGTATTTGCCTTTTTCATCCAAGCACAGGGCACCCCATTTCCTGTTGTGCCCTCCTCCCACCTTGGGGACCTTCTCCCATGGGCGCTCAGTGGAATCACAGCTGGAAATGTAATTTTCCATTTTCAGGATTGCTTTGAGAGGCTACTTTCCAGTTTGAAGTGAGCTGGAAGTGACACACTCAGTTTTCATTCCCTAAAAAAAATTACTACAGAAGTAACTTTGGCTCATTGTGAGTCAGAGTGGCTCAGACTTCTTTTGTTTTTTTTTTTTCACGATCACCTCCATTTTAGACATTCTTTTCCGAATTCATCAATAATAATAATGACAACATATTTAGTGACGTCAGATAGTTGATTCCATGTAGCATTATTATGTGGATATTTATTTATTATAGAGTTTGGGGTTTATTGTGGGTTTTTAAAGAATTTTTATTGGTTTATATTAATTGTATGAAAGGGTTTCATTGTGAATGTCCATCTATGCATATAATGTGCTTTAAACAAATCAGCACACCCTGTTGCTCTTACCCTTCTCTTCCCTTTCTTATAATTTTTAATGGGTTTCATTATTCTGTTCCCATATATGCTTATAAAATACTTCAGTCATATTCACCCCTCATCACCTTTTCCTTTTACCCTCCCCCCTTTCACTGGACATCCTCAAAAGTCCCCCTTTTAGCTGACATGGTGGCTCACGCCTGTAATCCAGCTCCTTAGGAGGCAGAGATCAGAAGGACTGAGGTTTGAAGCCAGCCCAGGCAAATAGTTCATGAGACCTTATCTCGAAAAAACCCATCACAAAAAAAGGGCTGGTGGAGTGGCTCAAGGTGTAGAACCTGAGATCAAACCCCACTACCCCCCCTACACACACAAAAAAGTTTGCTCAGACAGGGTCTCAATATGCAGCCCAAGCTGGCCTTGAACTCCTATCCTCTTGATCCCAGCCTCCCAAGTAATGAGTGCTGGGATCACAGGCCTGGCCATCACACCCAGCTTCATAAAGACTTTTTTTTTTTTTTCTGGTGATACCAGTGTTTGAACTTAGGGCCTCTGGCGTGCTATTCAGGTGCTTTACACCTGAGCCAGGCCCCCGTTTTTTCTGCTCTAGGTAGCGTCTCAAATTTTTGCCTCAGGACTGACCTTACACTGCAATTCTATCTACACCTGCTGTGGATCTGGGATGACAGGCACATGCCGCCACGCCTGGCTTGTTAATTGAGATGGGGGTCTCTCGAACTTTTTGCCTGGGCTGGCCTTGCTGCCACTGATCCTCAAGTAGCTGGGATTACAGGTGTGAGCCACTGTGTCTGATGTCACATAACTTTTAGTACAGTATATTGTGAAAATTGTCCTGTTGTATGGTTAGTTATTGTTAATCTCTTACTGTGTCTAATTTGTGAATTAAACTTTGTCCCAAGTATGTACATATAGGAACAAATGTCCGATATACAGGGTTAATGACAATCCACTGGGATCCTGGCACATTTCCCTCCATGAATGACTGTACAGAGTGCTTTGTGAACTTGGGATCCCAACCATCTTCCCAACTTTCAGTGTTTCATTTCTTACTGTTTAATTTTAAGTGGGTGTGTGGTGATGTCAAGTGCACTGTGAGCTGGGACAATGCCCTTAGCTAGGGCACTTCTGTTCCGGACGGCCTGGTGGAGGAATGTCTGTGTGCTGTGGTTTGGTTTCTAGTAGCCAGATGTGTGGGGCTACATTTTATAGGACTGGCATTGGTCTCTTATGCTGGGTCCTGCAGCTGTCTCTAGAACCTGCATCCATCTCTAGAACCTTCCATCTCCCCACATGAAGCTCTGTCCCCATTGAACACTAACTCCCTCCCTTCCCCAGGCCCTGGCACCCACCATCCTGCTTCCTGTCTCTGTGGCTCTGACGACTCCAGGGACCTCCTGTGAGTGGATTCCTGCAGTGTGTCCTTCTGGGTCTGCTCACTTCATTGAGCACTGTGCCCTTGAGAAACACCAACACTGTAACAGGTGCCAGAATTCCCTTCCTTTTCATGACTGACTAATATTCCAGTGTGTGGAGAACCCTATTGTGTGAAGCTGTTTGTCTGCTGTTCCCTATGGGGAGTCATGCTGATAGGAACATGGGTGTTCAAGTGTCTCTCCAAGTCCCTTTCAAGTCCTTTGCATATGCACCTGGCAGTGGAGTTGCTAGGTCATCAGTGATTCTATTTTTATTTTTTGAGGAACCTCCAAATGATTTTCCACAGTGGCCACACCATTTCATGATCCCGCCCACAATGTGCGAGGCTTCCAAATTCCTCACACCCATGTCACCCCTTCTTATTTTCTGGTTTTTTGTTTGGTTGGTTAGTTTTGGTTTCGTAATAGCCATCCTAATGGATGTGAGGTGGTATCCCACTGCAGAGCTGATTTGCATCTTTCTATGATTCTAACTCATGTGACGAACCTGGTGACTATCATTTTGTGTGTTTTGTGACTTTCATATGTGATCATTGAAGAAATGTCCTTCCTGTTCTTACCTGGGTCTGTCTTTGCCCAGTTCTTAATTGACTGTAGTGTTGTTGCTGAGTTGTTAAGTTCTTTATATATTGTGGATATGAATCCCTTATCAGATATAGGAGTAATGTATATTTGCATACATGCAAATATATCTGCATGTATGCAAATGCATCCATATATATGAAAATATTACCATACATGCAATAGTGTGCAAATGCATTTGCTTGTATTTTCTCCCATTCCATGAACCACTCTTTCAGTCTGTTGAGTGGCTTTTGATGCACAGTGTTTCACCCCTGCAACTCCATACTTGGAGTTGAGAACTCAGGGCCTCACGCTGGCTAGGCAGCTACTCTACCACTTGAGCCACTCCACCAGCCCTGTTTTGTATTGTTTTTTTGTTGTATTGTTTTTTTTTTTTTGAGATAGGTCTTGCAGACTATTTGCCTGGGCTGGCTTCAAACAGCGATCCTCCTGATCTCTGCCTCCATCCACCCAACCAGCTGTAGCTGGGATTACAGGCATGAGCCACCAGCACCCGGCTGTGTTTTTCTTTCTAAATGCCACTCCCACTCTCTTCCCAAAGTGAGCTTTGCCCTGACACTCTCCTGCCTACGTTGGTCTGTGGAGACACAGGCAACACCCAGCAGCCCTTGCTACTGGACTGCACTGTGCAATCTGTAGAGTGCTGAGGTCAGCCTTGCCAGTCATCCTGCAGTGTGTCATTGTTGTCTTGCAGGAGAGAAAATGGGACAGGGTGCCTGGAGGCTGGAGAGTATTTTTGCAAATGTAATTGGCACATAGGAGTACTCCTTGCAAATCCTATAAGAAATGGCGGGGAGGGTTGTTATTTTGAGCTTCTGCATCACGGGGTCACACAAGCCTTGGAGTGAGGGGTGTTCTGTTGTGAGTGGCGCGTACTGTTTGAGAAGGCTCCTGTGTGTTCTGAGAGATGTTGAGTTGCTAAGTTACCAAGAGCATCAGGAACCCAGAGAACGGGGTCCTCGTGATCATGCTCAGCTCTGGAAAATTAAATAGCTGTTGATGTTTTTAAAAGAATAAGAGTCGTCCTGGACTGGGATTCACAAGTCCTGAATTCTAGTTGCAATCCTAGCATTTCCAATGTGTATGTGGACGATGGGTGGGTGAGCAGATGGATAGGTGGATGGTTGGGTGTATGAGTGGGTGGGTGGGTGGATGGGTGGATGGACAGATGGGTGGGTCAGTAGGTAGATAGCGAGGCATAGGTATGGACGTGGACTCTCTTGGGACATAATTCACATTATTCTTTCATTTCTAAACCTCAGTTTCCTCATCTATAAAATTTGGGGAAATGTTTTTATGCCCAAAAGAGGAAAATTGAATGCTGGCCTCCCACATTCTTTACTTGTTCTAGTTTTTGCATAGAACTTAGTTTTATTCTTAATAATGCTTTTAACAAACAATGCATTTGAAAAGTACATTTGGATGAATGGCTTAATCTCTTGACAATTGTTTATTTTACGACACTTTAATTGAAATAAAATTTATTTACTCTAGGGTGGGGGGGGCAGGGAGGATAAATGACCCAAACAATGTATGCACATGTGAATAAATGAATAATAAAAAAAATTTATTTAAATGAATAATAAAAAAGATTCACCATTTTATGTGTATAATTCCATGGTTTGTGACATAGTGACACAATTTACAGCCATCACCACTATCTAGTTCTAGAACATTCCATTACCCCAAAAGGAAGCCCTGTCCCTACAAGCAGTCACCCCATCCCTCCCTAGCTCCTGCCCCCCACGAGTCCACTTCCTGTTTCTGTAATCTTCTGTTCTGGACATTTCCTGTCAATGAAGCCGCACGCTGTGGGGACTTGTATGTCTGCTTCTCTCACCGAGCACCCTGTCCTCAAGGCAGTGTGCATTCGATGAAGTTTTCAGTGACTGTGGTCATCATGCCACCCTTGGTGTGCAGGACCCAGGTGCTCACCAGTGCTCCACGGGCCTTACTGTGCCCCTCTCCTGGACAGGGAGGAGGGGCACACAAACAGGTGGCAGGAATGACTGGGGGTGTTGGACAGTCCACAGGGATAGAGATCTAGGACCTGGGCAGTGCCAGGGCACAGCAGAGACACCATGTCACATCTGAGCATCAAAAGAAAGATTACAGCGTCATTGGTCACACTTGAGTGTGGCAGGGGAGAGAAGCTGGCTTCCCCAGAAAGGTGACACCTGATGGAGGGTATGGTGTGGCCCACCGTCCTGGGAAAACGGGCCTTGGGTGCTTATACCAGAGCATTCCCAGGTCAACCAGGATGGGCTGGTCACCCTGAGCTTGGAGTTCCCACGAGGTGACCAAGGCCAGTTACGTCAGCAGGCAGTTGGGAGCAAAGGTCAGAGATGGAAGGAGAAGAAATATGGCCCAGGAGTTAAGAAAGTTGCTCAGGGCTGGCGTCCAGCTGTGGCCGCCCTGGGCTCCCGTCCTTTCCCAGCCAGAGGGACCAGCCCTTTGACCAGCTGCCCAGCTCTTTGAGATTGTCCAGCTGTCGACTGAAAAGAAAAACAAACGTCATGACAGTCATGACGCCTTCAGAGGCCGTTTGCTACCTGTCCCTCTGCTGAGGCATGGTTGTCTGGTCTGATGCCCTTATCCTGGTCCCCAGGGGGCTGATTAGGACACAAAGATCACTTGCGATTCAGCCAATCACAATCCAGCACAAACAACACCATTCCCTCCCGCTGTCGTCTGCCCCATGACCCCATGAGCTCAGGACCTCACTGGATTTCCCAGCAGCCTGTCCAGCACCGTCCCGCTTCTGCAGCGTGTACCCTGGGCCTTGTCCACCAGCTTGGGCCAGATGCAAACAGAGAGGTGATTTTTCCTCTTCCATCCCCAACTCATGCCCTCTGTTTCCTTTTCTTGCTCAGTTAGCCTGTTGGAACTTCTGGAACCATGTTAAACAGGAGCAGCGAGAGCTGGCATCCGTGTCATGGTCTCAGCAACTTGACCATCTTTCATGGTCCAGTTCAAGGGCAGCTGTGGAGTTCTTAACTCTTGAGGAAGTCCCCTGCATTCCAGGGTCACAGAGTGTTATGGAAGTTTGTCTGCATCTAGTGAAAGGATCGTGACCTTTATACTAACCACGTGTAGGACAGTACTGATGAACTTTTTTTTTTCTTTATGGTGGGACTGGAGTTTGAACTCAGGACTTTTCATTTGCAAAGCAGGCAGTCTCCTGCTTGATCTGCACTTCTAATCCATTTTGCTCTGCTTATTTTGGAGATGGGGGTCTCATGAGCTATTTGCTGGGACTGACCTCGAACCTCGATCTTCCCAGCCTCAGCCTCCCAAATAGCTAGGACTACAAGTATGAGCCACCACACCCAGCTTCCATTGACTTTTGAATGTAAACTTAACCTTGACTTTCTGGGATACGTCCCACTTGACTATGGCATTGAAACCTTTTCTGTGTTTCTGGATTCAGCTCATGGGTGTTTTGTGGCAGACCATGGATGTTTACTTCTACATATGAGTGAGACCGGGACTTGTCTTTCTATGCTTGCCTTGTTTTACCTAACGTGATATCCTCCAGGTCTACCCGTGTTGTTGCACATGATAGGAACGCATTCTTCTTTATGGCTGAATAGCACTCCATTGTGTACACATACCACATTTTCTTTATCCATCCAGCCATTGACGGACACTTAGAAAAACAGTGCAGCCTCATGTGTCCATAGTGCTGAGGGAGAGAGTCCTTGCTCTCCCTCCACCAAAACCAGAATCCACTAGTGGCAGTGCAGAGCTGACCTGCCTCCCCACTCAGCATGCGGGTGTCAATGTGGACAGCATCCCAGGACCCCCGCAGGGCTGGTGGTCATGGGTGCAGAAATCTCCTGGGGTCCATGGAGTCCTCTGACCCAGAGGTTCTCAAAATGGGTGATTCTGCCCCCAGGTGGTATCTTAGGACAGGTGTGACCGTCACAACTGGGGTGCTCCTGGCATGGAGTGGGTGGAAGTCAGAGACACTGCTCAGTGCCCTGCAGGTGCAGAGAACGACCTGGCCTTGTGGGTACAATGTTCAGAGAGTCCCTGGCTAAGGTGACTCTCCCTCCCCTTTTTTATTTATTTATCTTATCATATAACTGTGTACTGGGGAACACCATGACATTTACAGAAGTTCTTACAATGTATCATAGTTGAGTTCACCCCTCCGTCATTCTCCTTTATCCCCCTCCCATGACTCCCCCCTTGAGAAGCATCTAGGGGCTGGAAGGCGGGAATAGCCCCCAAGGGTCATCCACGGGACCCTGGACTCAGTTGCATGTGTGTTAGTCAGGCAGCCAGCACCCTGAGGCCAAGACAACGCCTTGCTCCTTCTCACACGTCAGTGACTGGCATGAGGTGACCTCAGTCTCATGACTTCCTGTGAAGCGCCTGAGTGCCATAATGGCTCTGCCACCCCCCCCCCCGGCTCTCTGTGGCCGTTAGGTGGGGGTGACCTGTGTGTCCCTCTTCCT